TTTTTTCGCGTCACATCTTTTTATACGAGGCGTTATGCCGATGGCATCTTTTTTTCCCGGCTGAGTGACTTTTCCTATTGGTTCCTTCGTCAGCTTGGCATATGTTCGACACATTCTTGAAAATTTATTGCCACAGTACCACCAAAGATCCTGGCAGAGTACTCTACGAAAAAAATGAACATAACTTACGCTTCTTTTGTTTTCAGTGAAGACTTACGATGGGCTTTCGAACACTGGGCTTTCGAACAAACTCACACTTTGTGTGTTGGTGCACCGAAAAACATAATATTTATGGCGCAAACTAAACACTAAATGAAAACAAGTAGAAGACAAGATTGCACCTGGCGTGCCATGTTGTCTTCTTATTTTTTGTCGTTCGTTCTGAGTCTGCCACAAATATTTCTTGGAGTTGTTCCAAGTTCAGCTTCTCATGCAAGACAGATGTGTCATTGGGTGCTGCTTGACAGTATGTTTTGCGTACTGCGCGCACGTGTATTGGGCAGGAGGCATCAGAAGTGTGCCAACTGCTGCGATGCCATAAGGGAACAAATTTCCCTTGCAAAAACTGGGACTAAGCCGCTCGTCGTAGAAATAGAAAAAGCCGATGAGAATTCTAAGTGCTCCTTGTGTTCGGGGCGGCAGATGGCGCAGCAAAGTGAACTCTGTATTTTGGTTTGTTGACAGGCGTCATCAAATATTTGTCTCGGACAATTATGGAGTGGCTAATAGCGAAGCCCAGCAAGAAATAAGGGCATTACAGGAAAGGATACGCAGAAACACAGGCGCAAATAGTTTCGCATGTGCCCCTGTGTGAATTTTCTTGTATCCTTTTTTGCTGCGCTATGCTGTAACTATCATTCCGTGATCACAAACAGACAAGCTGGCGTTGGGATCCTCGTAGAGCCCGAGTCCTGGAGACAGGGTCTTTAGCTAAGAGAAAAAAAAAAGTATCGCCTGTGCAGTGTCCCTGAGAGTCCTGCCCTCTGGACTCAGTCCTGGATGGCACATAGAAGAGAACAAAGACCACAAAAGATTTATGTGTACTGCTTGCCTTGTTCTGAAGAAAAAACTTATGCCTTAAAGTTTAAGCATGAACGTGCAAAAAATTGAGTCGGCAAGGGCTTTTTCGATTCCGTTCTGACAATATCATGGGCTGCACAATCCACAGTATTTGGTTTCGCAAATGGTGCACATCTATTGACTGTGGGCGGTTTCATTTCAGTTCATGGACAACCTTTGGTAGAACGTCGTAGGGAATTCATCTTCCTGTTCTAACATCTGAATACCATCGTAGAACAGATGATTGGCAAGACGTTGTAAGTTACCTGCTGACGTCGAGCGGCAAGGTGGTTGGAGATATCTGGTTTAAACGGGCGTACTTGGACTAACAGTACGAACATAAAACTCGGACAACAAAGAATAAAATGCGAACACAGTGGGGCGTTTGACACTTATTTCTTCAGTGTTGTTTGCAGCTTCCGCTACCGGAACTAACCTAAAGTGCAGCACTTTAGGCGGCAGTGATCAGAAGCGCCAGAGTGATGACAGGCTCGGATGAATCCTTGTGTCTTGTGCATCTCGTTGCCGCAAATACTCTACTACCGTGCACCTCACTGCCCTGATGGCACTGGTAAGGTTCGTTCGTTCTTCGAACATTCTAAGGGACTTCATAGGTCATAATTGCGGTGAAGTTAGGCTGAGTGCTAGCTTAATACATGTTTTGGATACCATTTGCTGAATAATTAAACAGTATGTCATTAAAATCATTCGCTAAGTTGTTCGAATGAATGCCCAACAAGATGACTTCCACTGCATTAGGAGGACGTTGGCATCAAATCAGTGGCAATGGCTCGCGGAGCCACACCTCCGAGCGCACAGTATGTGGGTTTGGACGAGCAACCACACTGTGGCGCTGTGTTGCTGTTATACCTACATGTTTTTGCAAGATACCGGACATAGTTTGTCAGGAATGCAAACCCTTGCAATAAAATTAACATTTAGCAAAAATTATGGGGCCTAGCGAATCTGCAATATTCTTTTCAGGGTGCCTACGTCCTGCCACTTCTGGCGTCATTCCTCCACGCTTCTGTTGCAGTAAAGGCATAATCAAAAAGAGAAAGGAGAAAAAAAAAGCTTACGTGTGAAGCGTTTTCATAGTCCCATTCTCTGCTTTTTTAAATACCGTCTAGTTTTGTCTTCACAGAAGAAGCAAAGAAGTGCTAACAGCGTGTCAGTCGAAGATACAGAACGACAGAAACTTGATGCAAAATAAGCTGCAGTACAGAAGTAGAAGAGCCATGCCCTTTGATTCCCATGCCCCAACAGGGCGCATAGAATAATTTTCTAGCTTTGGCAACAGATTTGCATGCGTCGTCAACACATAAAAGCTGGCGTAAGCTCTGCTGGAATATTTTACACTTAGAAATAAAAGGCTGTGTCTTAGAGAAGGGCGTTTGCTTAAAGTGAGCGACGGTTGAAGGTATTTCGCTTAAGCTGAAGGGACACGCTTCTCGTTCACTAATACAACCAACTTTACACAGTAACCTGGGATGGCTTTGTATATACTTTTCACTCAAGTGCTTAAACATGAGCATTGCGACAGTATTTATATACGAAACTGATATCGGCAGGACGGAAATTTAGTGACGCTGAGGCTTCAACAACAACAAAAAAAGCTTATCAAGCACACACGTGCTCAGCACCAAATGACAATAAATGCAATGAGCACAGAGTTCAAGCTCTGGGAAATTACTTCTTATACGCCCATTTAGCTGATATGTCTCACACGTCCACGAGGAAACTACTCTGAAGTTGATGTTGGTGAGGAATCGCAAGACGACTTCCAGAGAAGAGACACGTCGGGCCGTGGGGGAATAAATTGATGCCCTCGTGCAGCGACAGAAACTTCAGTTGTGTACGGCAGAGGTTTAAAGCCGTGTCTAGCACATAGCCTAATTCGCGTCACCAAGAGGAGATGGCGTATGTAGTAATACTTGTTAAAGAAGAGGGCTGGGATAGATGAGGGAATATACTTTTCATGCATTTTTAGTGCTTAAAAGAAAGTGAAAAAACAGCAACAAAACGATAGACCAAAAATACGTGTAGGAGAGACACGACCCTTGTCTTCAACTGTCTCGACGTACATATAAGGACCTTTTTTTTCTCACGTAATAAAATTCAGTTGAGGACGAGCATTTTATCTGTCCTCTCCTACTGGTCTCACCTGATTTTGCTTTTTTTCTCTAAGCACTCAACATGCATGAAAAGGTGTATCAGGGCTCGTGTACTTATATGTCAAGTAAAACAGGGCGCCTATAGCAACACGGAGTGGATGGTGGTTTTCTCATTGGACCACCACTGAGTTCTGGGGGCACGAATATGGCTCATTCTGACATCTCGAAGAAAGCGAGAACTCTGGTCTCACACTGTGACAACACTAGGCCTTCAGCCGATCGGCCAATGCTCATCGGTGGCGCAGTATAACGTTCCAGCCGTTACCGCGCTTCGGCTGATCAGCAGCGTACCTACATGAAGTGCTTATGCTGTAGCAACGACCGCAGTCAGTTGCTGTGCATGAAAATTTGAAACAAATGAGCGACTACTTCTGGTAACGTGTGCGATTACACTATAACAGCGGGCATGAGCCAAGCAGTGAAGCCACTATCGAATCTTCGAGTAGCAGCGGTTAGGCTCAGTAATCAAGAGAGTACTTGACGGAACTGAACGAAATACCAGCGAATGCGCATGAGATGTAGGTTGGGCGTGTGCATATCCAAATACCATTGCTTTGGACATAAACATTTAACTGCATGAGTGAAGCATTTTGACCGAAATACCTTCTGATGGTAGTTCACTGGAGAAATGTGCGCGCCTTCTAAACGAAAAAAATAAAAAAAGAAACCTGCTCACTTGCCGGGTATACAAAGGAAATCGTTCCTGTTGGCTTCTATTACGACTAACAAGAAAGCTGAAGGTCGCTGGAGATGCTAGGCAGTGCATCGTGCTCTAAATCATGAACAACTTTTTCTACACACACATTGCACCACATAACATCATCTTCGTGACAGAAAACACAGTTTGCATAGAAGAAAACAAATGCATGGAGCTGTCTTACGGAGAGTATCGAAAACACAACATAATAAAGATGTCATATGCAGGCACAAATGAATTGCGAAATATTGTGGGAGGTAGTAAACAAGAGGCAAGTTCAAAAGCACAACCTGTTCAAGCTTTCGCTGCACGCTCGTCTGGCAACAGGCTTTGACGAAACATATACATGACGTGCCAGCTGGGCTGGCATCTCACATAAAACCATTACGTATATTTGCTCGTAGCGCTAACCCGTTTTTACCTGTTATAGGTATCGGTAATGTAACAATGGCTAATTAGAAATAATTAAATTGCATTGAGAAGCTGTACGCAAGACAGAAAAGTGACTGTACAAACGTGTATGTTGCCTGACAGGAGTATTCAGCTGTCATTTTTTTTGCTTGAGAAATTGCGCCTATGAATAACTAAGGTGGAGCTGTAAGCAACTTTTGTGAGCGTGGTTGCTTGCGCCATAGTTTCCTTTCTTTTCGCGATTTTTCCAGCCTTAGTTACTGATCAAGTTAACGTGTTTCGCAACGCGACGTGATTTGCCTTGATTGGGGAGCCGCAACGTTTACGACCTGATGTAATCGCATGACAAGCGGTAACTATCTAAAAGTGACTTGGAAGCGTCTTATTTTCTTGATAAAGAGTTACCAGCCTGACTCATTGCTTTCGCTAATCAGGATGCCACAGGCCCGATAGACGTAGCGCTTTAGCCCTGGCGTGTGCCGATTAACTCTCGAAGATATTCGCAGAGCCACTGCGCCCATACAGAGCAGCGATTGTTTCACTGACAAGCCAAACTCACTCTCTTGTCGACCTCGACCCGCCGTTGATGCTATTTTACTCACAGGCGGACGTCACCAGACCCCCCCCCCCCCCCCCCCCCCCCCGCAACTTGACTTCTCTAACTTTCGACACATTCTTTATAACGTCACCAAGCTCCGTGTTGCCGATGCAGATGAATTCTGCAGCCTTTTGCTGGAGCGAATCTCCTCACCACGGAGAGCACTAAGCAACTGTCACTTTCAGTTTGCAGTCCTTCGCCTTCGGCACTCACAAAACGCGCACGGTATCTTCACCTGCACCTCCACAATTGGCTCCTGAAAACATGGCTTGGCTCGTTGATTTCGCAGCATTGTTGGTTCCAGGGCGAACATGCGAAAAAAAAAGGAAATACCGAAATGGACGACCAGTAGATTAATTAGCTAGCGATCCTAGTTAGGTGGTGGTGGTGTCGTGGCAGTCGCTGTAGATGCGTGAGCAGTTCCGCTGGTGCAGCCCGTTCTGGGCAGCTTTGAGGAAGTCTTGCATCGCAGCCTTCTGATCATCCGGCATCGCTGACCTCTCCACACGGCCGTCGGCCCTGCATATATAGGGTTAGGCGCACGTCAGTTATAAATATCAGCCCATTTATATTTCCAATGATCCCTTCTTACTCATGCCCAGTTACACATGTGCACAGGAAGTCATATTAAGCAATATGACATCAACAGCCAACGAAGAGTTCCCTGCAAGTTTTGCCATTTTTTGACCTGTTAAAAGATGCAAGTCAGCCTTTTTTACACTCTCCTCAAGGTGGGATATTTTAAAACATCTTGCTACAAACATAGCAACGTTTTGGTGTAATCAATCGTGACCCACTGTGTAGTTGCGGTGTACAACTCCGCTTCCGAGTTCTTGTTGCAATAGAAAACGCGGCGCCACCGCTAACAGACTCTCAGTGATGAAGTTACAGACGCCCCCGCGAGAGTACCCACTTTCGATCCTGGAGGGGATATGGCTACTTCCTTTTTCAGTACTGGAGATATCAGTGACGGAAATCGGATGCTGCTATGGTGGCTATGATATGACCAGAAAAAACAGCTATGGGAAGGAATGAGATAAGCAACATTCAAAAAAAAAAAACCAAGTGCTACAGCTATAGCAGTAGTTCAGCGTCTGCAACCGCAGCCATTATGAATCCCATGTACATAAGCTTTATTTGCTTGCTACCATGTAGGCGCTTGAAAGAGAAAAAAGAAAAGAAAACCACTGGCAGTCTGTTTGGAGCATGAGTTATCTAAGGGAACCCACATGAGTTCTACAGCAAACCTAGCACAAAATTTCATTGCGGAAAAAAATCGTCTTTATTCCGACTTTGATCCTTTCACAAACGTTCCTGCCCCTTGATGACTTTTGTGGAGCTCATCTAGAATGCTTTTGTTAATTTTATATCCCTGCGTTGCGTATGAGTTGGTCATTTCACGCACTTCCACTCTGGTCTGAAGGAGCATGCCAAACATCTCGAAAAGCAAAGCACCGTCCGACTCATGGCGTATTCCGAGAAGAGGGTTGTGTGAAGACTCTTAAAAAGAACCAACCCACCAAGCATCTGCAGCAGTTATTTAGGTTTACATGGCTACGTTCCACAGCGTGACTTCGACAGTGCGCGATATGCGAATGTGCTCGCTACTCACTTGAGCATAGAGATGATGTTCTTCGCTACGGTTCCAGCTTCGGGACTCATCGCGGAGCGGTGAAACTCGCACATGGCCTTCAGTTGGCAAGAGGCATCCTGCTGGCCGTAGCGCTGCACGGCCTCGTCCAGGCGCGTCAGGAGGGTGATCATTTGCTGGGCGCCCTGGATGTAGTCGATGCCACCTGGAACCGTGCCGCCTCCTAGGCCTGCGTCCATGGTGCCCCTTCGGCCCCTGCGCCGGGCTTGAACGGTGTAGGCGCCCGCGTTAATCGCCGCCATGCTCCGCAGGCTCGTCAGCGCCGTGCTCAGCAGTTCGGGCAGAGCCAGCAGGGCCACCAGCGGAAGCATGTACTTAAGCGCCGGCAGAGCCGGCTCCATCAGCATCAGCAACGGGTTGCCCTTTTTGGTCACCTGCGTAGTACACGTCGCATCAGCGTACAGAGTGCAGGCAGCCGAGATTAGTGGAACTCGCCCTGATTGACTCACTGATTGCCGCTATTTTACTGAGGATGCACTCGACTCAGACTCACCGAGATTGTGCTCAAACGGCATAATTCGTGCTCAGACTCGATTTTTTTTATTGAAATGATGAATTGAGGAGATTGGCGCCTATTTAGCGACACAGGCTACTCATCTTTTTTTAGAACACGAAATATCAAGTACTAATAATAAAAAAAGGCTTAAAGTACGTCATACAGTAGAACACAATATGTGAAAACACAGTGCAATTCAATGGTACATGAGTATAAGCATGCTAGAGTTATAGTACAAGTTCAATGTATGTAAAATACGTTTACATGTACATGTACAAATTCATATAATCTGCACAGCTGTTGTGCAAATGGAAAAGCACGCGATACAAATAATTACACACAACATGAACTACACGTTACCATCATTACAGAATTCCGACCACACTCCATGGTTAATATTACGCATTTTGTTCAAAGCGCACCTTAATTCCATAAGATGCTTGTTCCTTCGAGAACCTTCTTTAGGGCGACGAGCTTGTCATTTCTCGGCCTGAGCCTTGGCGAGACTGAGTCTGCTGTGAGTCTCGGGCCGTCATCTCAGCGCACATTCTCCATTATTTGAATGTACTCTAAATTATTGTTGATGTAAGCTGTGCGTCATTTGTTATCATCACCTGCGGTATTCCTTTGATGTCGTGGATGCTCTGACCGGCGCTGTTCAGCGTGGTCGAGTCTGCCGCCGAGCAGGACAGCAGCAGGACCAGGAGTAGCCAGCAGTGCAGCACAAGGGACACACTGACCCATTGCACGCGCATCCTGTGGGCCTGCGACATCAGAGCCGAGTGGCCACGGGAAAGAAAATCGATAAATAATTGTCTACGGCAACACTAACCTTTTATTAGCCTTCGCCAAACCCATGTTACCTAGTTAGAAAACTTGGAATTGAAATTGCTTATTCAGGCAATGACAAATACCGAAGGGTACACGTGTTCCTTCCAGGACGATGACAAAAAGGCACAAATGTCTGCTGAAGTGTCAACTCATCTTCTAAAGACACACCACTCAAACAAAGAAGGCGCTCCCTTGAACTCAAAACTGTGCTACACACATGTTCACTCTAGTGGCGCATCCGTAGATAGACATACAAGAGTTATGCAATTTTATGAACGCAGTGCATGAGTTAAAACATGAAATGCATACTTTCATACATTATTGTCACTCTAAAAGAAAAAGGCTGTATGTGACAACGTCGAGCCAGCGCCAATAAAAAAAAAAATCACAGCATATCCACGGAGTGAACGATGTTGAGTGGGGCGAAGTTTCGTCAGTTCGTCCGTGCTTCCATCCGTTTGTTAGTTCTTGCTTCCGTCCGTCCATGCGTCCGTTTGTACGTCTGTCCATCCGTCCGTCCATGCATCCCTCCGTCTATCCATCCTTCCGTCCATCCGTTCATCCTTCCGTCCCTCTGTGCGTCCGTCCGCGCGTGCATCTGTCCGTCCGTGCGTCCATTCGTGCGTCTGTCTGTGCGTCCGTTAGTCTGTCCTTGCGTTCGTCCATCCGTTCGTGCGTCAAACAGACAGACGACAGATGGTGGCGGCCAGCGGATGATTCATGGTTTGCCGATAAAACCCTCAGAAGCTTCACCCCACTCATCATCACTCACTCGGTGAATATGCTGTGAGATGATCACTGCATACATGCATACATACAGGTGACGACCTCTCCACGCCTTAAGGAGCTTCGCCCTTAAGAGGAAAAGTTATTCCTGTATTGATCACTCGTAGGACCTTATCTTTTGCTTGATGTAATCTAGGTTTATGGTACTTTTATCTCTGGATGTCAGTAGAATGGGAATGTAAGAAGGCTTATAATCCATGCCATAGTTTCCATGCCATAGTTAGTGCGTGTAAAACCTTTGTTACTCAGTGTTTCCTTAGTTTTGTAAACGTTTTATCTCCAAAGAAGTTCTCGAAAAACATTGTTGAGAACTATAGCAATATTTTATTTCTTGTCTCTTATTTCTTGCATTGTTAATATGTCAATTGATATGAATAATGGCAAAAAGCGTGTAGATAAGATAAATTTTCAATTATCCACAAAATACGTTTTCTAAGGTGTACAGCTCGTTGACATTTGTTTTAGTTGTTCACCATGTGAGGCTCTAAATATTAATGAGTTAGAGAGGAATATAGACGGCTTCATAATCATACAAGAAAACATTGTGTCCTACTACTAGTGTTGCCAAGTGAACATCTAATGAGCCATCTCAATTTACCCGCGTAATAGGACCGGTCGAGCTTTTTTGTTTGTAAATAAAACAGGGGACAGTGAACAGTCATATACGATCACTGAAGATGGCCGAATTGCTCTGCGTGTCACGTTCACCACCCCCCTCTTTGTGCGCTTACGGTTTATATTAGATGCGAAGCAGCTCTTTGACTAGCCTGTGTAACGCTGTCCCTCCGTACACCCCCACTGCGTATGTTCGCATTTTGTACCGAGACGCGCATGCTCGCGTCACGGGCCGACCCAGGAAGACACCCGCAAAACTGTCACTCCCCTCCTCTTCTCTCGCCTCGCAAGGCCGAACGAAGCAGCCTCTGCTTGTAAATAGACGAATGTTCGCGCTGTGCAACCGTTCACTGACCACCCCGTATATGTAGGCACTGTATCACGCGTTCGGAATTCAGTTAAGGGCGTCTTTACTTCGCTCGCTTGATGAGCGCCAGCGTCGACGTCAACGCCAGTGTAAGGGCTAGCGCCCGCTGCTTCGCACATGGTTGCCATTAGCGGGAGATGGTCCAACTTTTAATGTTGTTAATTACACTTGCTAGAAAAATTTTCTAGGTCGCGATATCTAAGCTGTTGGCGTGAACCACTTATGTCGTGTGGCTATGCGGGTGATGATACCGCGTTATGTAGGCCACACACAACTCTTACGCTGATGAAAACAAGAAAAGAAATGGTCCTTTTAGTTTCGCACTTATACTAGATTACCCAGTCTTAAACCACATCAACCAACCATACTGCCGGTGTGCACACACGTTAAATTCAACCAAGAGCTTTTCGCGGTCACCGAGAACGATAGCTACATTTATTTACGGTCCTAAAGGTACTGCACGACAGAAACACAAGCGGGTGACGACTTGTGCGTTGGCGAAGCATCTTGTTTTTTTTTTGGCAAAAGCAGTTACGCATCCCGTATTTAGGTGTACTTCTCGTCGCCCGAAATGACCACTGTGAGATCGTTGCAAACGTAGAGAAACGTGGCCGAAAGCGAACCAGGTCGCGCCTACGATCTGCACACACACTGCATTCTATTCTTCTGATTGCGTGCGCCCAAGTAACAATCACATCCTCACATTGCGCACCACGGTCACTGGGGTTTTCCCTTCTGTTTAGGACAGAATTCAGAATAAGAGAGAAGAAAGAAAAGTAACACCAAACTGGAAAAAAAGAGAGAATAATTGATCAAAATCTTGAGTATAATGACAAAAAAAAGTTGGTAGCGGCCGTCGTGGTCAGTAAGCATCCTCACTTCACCGTGCAAGGAACGAACCGAAACAAATGAATAAAGTCGGAGGCGAGCGTGTGCGCGCACTCGCGTAAACGAGAACTGGACGGCGCGGATCGCTTTCGGGGAAAGCCGGGAGCGTGGACGAGCGCTACCTGGAGAGACACGTAAGGGGGAAGATGAAGAAGAACCGACGAGAGTGGGAAGAAGGATCGAGAACGTAATTCGTTGCGCAAGCGCGTGCCGTTACGCCGTCGCTTTTACGCGCGCGACCGCGCTCAGTTGCGCTGTTCGGTTGTCCGGCGGCTTCAACGAGCCGTGGCTAAAGGGGGGCAGTTGCCCCTGCCGGAGAACTCGTGCGAAGCAACCTGTTATCCTTTCCTTTCTCTTTATTTAAACTCTTCTTGGAGAAGTGTTGTTTTCACCGTACTTTTCACGGCTGTCACTCGCGAAGCGTGGTGGGCAGGAAAAAACAAACGGTATCGCTACGAGCCTTCCACTGAATGAAAAAAGAAAACAAGGAAAGAAAGACAGTTAAGCGGGCGCGAGAACAACTGGCATGCGCACTGGAGCGTGCCAAATCGAGTGAAGGCAGACTGTCTGGGAGGTCGCGGGAAGGTATGATGTCACGAGCGCTGTTGCATGCCGCTGCAGGCCCGTGCAGATGCGCCTCCAAATGAAATGATCATACTGTTAGGTTAAGGTGCATGCATGAAGTGCAGGCGTAGTCAGATTCCTACAAGAATTGCTACTACACTAAGCTTTGCCTGTAGGATGGGTCTGGGTATATAGCGTTTCTGATAAACGGAGAAAGTTGTAAACTTTATTAATAAAGGAACATAGAGTCAGCAAGAGCGTAAAGATGTGAAAGAAAAGCAAAAAAAAAAGTAATAGTTGCGGGGTTGTTGTAGACATTGGAGGGAGTGAAAGAGGCATAGTTAGCGAGGGGCGGAAATGCACTGATTTCAGCGAGTCAAGGATTCAGTTCACTACCCTACACAGATGACAGAGGAATGGAGAGCAGAAAAGAGGAGGCATCCGGGAAGTGTGGATCAGGACGTTAATGAAGAAAAAAAGCATGGCGAGAGAGACAGAAAATACTAGCGGCTCCAGATGTAACTTCATTTTATTGTTGATTAGCTCGGCTTCAAACTTGATTAGCTCAGTTTCCAGAAGGGTGATAGTGATGATGGTCGTCATCATCATCGTCTACAGAGGTCGAGAGCTGCACACTGTGCAGTTCAGCCAGCATGACAATCAAGATCAATGGCCTCGTTGACTTCATAAGGCTTTGAGAACGTTCAACCGGATCAATTTTCATCAAGACATACACGACACGCTTTTGAACAGGTAACTGTGACTGCGTACAGCAAGTGGCCTTTCTGTGTTTGAAAAAAAAAAACTGTGAGTGCTTAGTGAGACCGTGCGATGCCTTCCAATTTGTCAATACAGGAAGGGTCGTAACTGCTAGGGTAGTAACAGTTACGAAATGCTGATAGTAACTGTTATCACCCTCGCCTTTACTAACTGCACTTACTACCAGGGTTGTAACACGTGTAACCCCAAAGTTGGCAAGTACTACCACCTTTCTTTCTTAAGAGTGCACGCGTATCAAGTTCGCAGGTGCTACAGCGAAAAGGAAGAATGATATAACAGGTCAGTAGTACCCAGTGGAATCGAGAGGCTTCTACGAAGAACTACAAGGGTGGCTTAGATAGACAAGGAAACTCGTGACACGAAACGACCGTCCGTCTAAGGGCTTCTCTCCTTGACGAGACATTGTTCTTCACGGAGTGTGATGTGACACTGTGTAATGCTTCTAGGAAGCACGTGGGAAAAAACAAAACAAGAATACATTTGAAAATTGCCCGGGTTGTTGTAAATCTCGTAATACAGGCCGCTGGAACAGAAAATACAAATAACGAGCAAGCGGTAATTATTGCTGCTACTGACGCGATATACGGGAAAAAGCTACTGCTGAAATATCCACGGCACCATGGCCCTAAGGCAAACAAAGTTTCGTCACACAGTGGTTCGCAGAACATGCAACGCGATACAGATGGCAGCTATGAATTCAATGTTATGCACATAAACACATAAACACAGAAAGCCCATAAAAGCACGAAAAATGCACACATGCATCGTAAAACTACGCATGGTGAACAAAAAAAAAGGCTACTTTGCACAGAACGGGAGAGGCTTGATACAGTGAAACTGGACAATTCCGAAGACTAATCTGGTCGCTGATAGGTTGTTTTCAGGTCCTTGTCAGGCTATTAGTTGTTTCTGCGTTGATTCTCAGTGAATAAA